CTCCGAACCTCTATGAAGCTCTAACAACAATCTTAGTAGGCTTTCAGACCTACTGTCTGGCATGCTTATTCTTATATAAAACATGCTGTTTTGTTGACCTTGCCATGAACAAAGCCATTACGGCATATCGGCAAATAAAAATCAGTCAAATCATACACAGGACAATATTGAATAGTGAAATCGGCTTACCTTGCTACTGGATGCCATCAAAACACAAATCAAGCGTTCTTTAGCAGTTGAAATCCGTGAGATTTTAGAAGAAAAAAATCAATATTTTCTCCTCACTTGCGGCTATTTATACGAATGGGTCGAATGAAAATTAAACACAAACCTTTTTAGTTCGACAAATCAAACCTCAAATCTAATCATAATGTCGAAAAAGTGTGAACGCATCCGAACATTGCATCCGACAAAATTATCGAGCAGTCCGCTCGAATCAAATAGTCTAAATGGACCTTAAGGCCGTTCGCAATGCTGAGTTTCAAAATTGTTTTAAACGACTTGACAATTCTATAATTTGAAACTGTCAAAAATAAAACTGCAACACGATCAGCGCAACGCATAGTTCTAAAAGATGTTTGTAATCATCAAATTCCATAAACTTTACTGTTCTCTATGAAGTTCTCCGTTTTTTTTTGTGGAGCTCTTCGAAACATCACCAACACATCCAAAGAAATTTGAAACAGAGTTCCACTCGTGTTTCAAACTCGCTCAGAAATAAAACAGAATAGTCGAGCAGTTGCAAATCTGGTGCAAAATAGTGCTCGAATAATGAAACTGCAACTCAGCATTGCGAGAGGTGCGTTTCTGTTCTAGTTTCAAATTGAAACTGTCCTTATAAAATACAACAGCATTGCGAACGGCCTAAGCCTACTTGTCGGATTGAAAACTAGTTAGAACCAAATCGACTTCGGTTAGGTCGCTTAGGCTGTGAACCATTTGCCGAGTTAAATTTAACTCGTGGTTAAAACTGACATTTCGAAAGTTATTCTCAATGTTCGAAAATCCCTGTACTGTCGATCGACCGGTTTTCGAGAAGAACTCAACCACGATTGTCAAAATTTAACTGGTTATTTCTGACAGACAAGAAGTTAAATCTTGACAACAGCGACTGAGTTCTGCTCGAAACCCGATCGATCGGTAACACAGGGATTTTCGAACATAGAAAATAACTTTCGAAATGTCACTTTTAACCACGAGTTAAATTTAACCCGGCAAATGGTTCACAGCCTTAATGAAATTTGTGACTACTGTCAAACTTGCTGTTTCCGTTCCACTTCCACCCACATTGCGTTAAGAGCCTTTTTACACTCAGTCATCAAGCCCATCAGATCCAAATAATACCAACCACACGCGTTAATCTCAATCACCCTTTCTTATCGAGTGAGTAATTGCCATTCGATGTTCTCCCAAAAAATTGTACTGGCTGAAGTGAAAAGCATGGGAAAATTACCGCATCCAATGCAGTGACCTGATGGGAAACTCACTCGAAAAAAAAAGTTCACACACCAATGAATCGGCCCAGGAGACGCATCGCCCCAAACAGTCCCATGCAAAGTTCATCCGTCGCGGTCAAAACTCCACCGAGCTCGGTCCGAAAAAAGGAAGTTGAACATTTCGAAACATTTCCACATCCCTGCGACTTTCGGCAGCGGGGTTTTCTTCTTTTTGCATTTTATTTGAAAGGAAGCAAATTAAATTTAAACGCTTCGATCAAGATCCGTCGTTTTCGTTCTTGTTTTACGTTTTTGTTTATTTCATCGGTTACGATTATTTCGGACTGCCAAGGAAGCTCCTACCAGCTCCTCCTGAATGAACAATGCACGTAGGATCCTGTGCAGCGCTAATTTGTATAATCCGCAACCTCTTTACAAGCAGAGCAGGCGAGGCGGCAAAAGGACCTGGTGGTGGCAAGGCAGCAAGCCAAGAAATCGTGTGATGTGCAGCCAGTGGATCCGATAATTTGATCCGAAATTTTCTGCTGAAGAAGTCTGAAACGATTTTGCAGGGCCTACTATTTTTTTTTCATGCCTTTGCCTCTCTGTTTTTTTTTGCGATCTTTGGCAGACGACTGCAATTTTCTCACGGCACACTTGATTGACGCGAGCAGTGATCTTTTCGGAAATTGTACGGTATTGTACGTTGAGTGCGGTAATCGTGGTCGAGAATTGTTTTTTAAGTGGGAAAATCGACGATACGTATGCGATAGTCTTTTCTAGCAATTCTGGCATTAATCAATAAAACAAACTTGATTGGCGTGACGGAGTCCAGCTAATGAGGCATTAATCTCTTCCATTCAAGCAAAGCTTAAATTACCCCTTTTATGCGGTGTCCTTTCACGGGACCTCCCCGCGGGGACCGCATACTCAGATAATCCTTTGATGTTCCGGTCATTCATAACCAAACAATAGCCGCAGGATAATACAAAGGACCAACGCACCGCAGCTTTTGACCCTCCACGCGGCGCAGGATCCTGTTCCTTTGGAGATAGCGGAACAACCAAAGGAGCCTATTATTATCGTACCTGTTACTTTAATCACCTTTCCGAGCGGTGAAAGACCTCTCAAGGATTCGTGCAGAGATCCTTCGCTTGCAGTGAATAGCGGAAAAGGTCCTTCATCATCATTTTCTTGCAATCAACAAACGGAACGGGAAGAATCTTTGTTTGCCGTTCGACGGTGGTCTTTTGGCACCCTCAATTAATTGTTTGTGACTCTCACTTTCCAGCAATGGGAGCAATTAAAAACGAATTTCCAAACAAATCTAGTGATCTGTTGGATTCAATCCAAGCTGGTCACCCTACCGTTGCGCAACTCACACGATCCCGTCACCCATAAACCACGTCGCGGCCTACTCATTTTTCTCGGACCGGCGTGAAACTTGGCGGCTGGATCGACAGCTTCGGTGTGTTTCCCCCGACTCAGAAAGACCCATTTCGATAAACGGTTTACGATAACTTTATTAAATTTTGAACCAGCACAAAAAAAAAATCACTGAATGAACTTTTCAAGCCCCTAAAACCAGTGTACAAGTTTGCAATTTTCGCAGAAGGAGAAGCCCGAAAACAAATAAACGATTTTATCAAGTTATACGGTGATGAAGCTGCCGGCCGCCATAAGAAAATTGAGGGGCCCTCTGCGCTTCGATGATAGTGGTTTGATGCACGACTGATTGATGCCTTGCGTCGTTGGTTATTTTCACGTTGCCAAAAATTGTAGGGATTATCCCTGGGTGACCGTTTTGTGTTTTATGAGAAGGCTGGCGCGTAATAATGGCGACGTTCGGTTAGCTTCTACCTTTTCATCGAACGAGAAGGTGCTTCTTCTAGCGCCAAATTATACACCTCGTTAAGATATATAAGTTTGTTTTCTCCCGTAGTGGGAAAGCCTTCGCCACGAAACTAAAGGGTACGAGGAGATTCGAAATGAAAGGTTAAATGTTAGCAGAAGATTGAGCAAATATTGAACCGGCAGTTAAGCAATTAATTAGATTATGTTTATCTGAAAAATTGCATTATCTGTTTGAGCTGGAAAGGTAAACAAACTTGTGAAGCTACATTGTGTCCACTCTTCTCCGGTGCTCGCATCAATCATTATTTGGAAACCTGTTTTAGGTGCAACACGGATCGCAGCAACCCTGAGGCTATTTGACAAAACTCTGAGCCAATCCCGTACACAGGAAAATGGGTGCACTGCACATCACGTGTGCCATGAATCAAACGTTTTTATTGCCCGCGGGTTATAGGGAAGGGACCACCCTGCTTCTAAGCGCCGTCGTTGTTGGTTCACAATTGAAAGTTGATCTGGACGAAGAATTCACTTTAATTTCACGGCTCAGAAGGTGGCTTTCTTTTCATTGTCTTCAGAACTGAGGGTATCGATGAGCAATAAAATACGGAGGATTATTTTCGATGAACAATGAACGATGAACTTTTCGTCGAGTAACAAACTTTTCAGTCTCGGAGCACTTAAATGACATGTTTATTTACGCCTCATCCTTTATGTCAAAAAATGGAATCCGTCACGTGTAAAATTAGTTATTTCTAAGTGTGAGGTGTAATTTTAATTCATAATGTATGAAGTTGCGGATTAATCATGGATAGATTTGGTGAGTTCGATTTTGGGACAGCTTTCGATCATGAGTATAATCGGAGTTAATTTTGTGTAACTCTGAGTAACTTGCATTGCTCAACAACATTTACACATAGCAACCTGGTTGTTTGGTTGAAACCGATGCTGTTAAGCAAAGGTAATTCAGTGACAACATTTCAAAGGGGCGTAATTGCATTTGTGAATTTGTAATATGTATTTCAACATTTTAAGCGGTGCCCTTTCAAACTAAAGCTTTTTTTTTTCCTTTGGTTTGTTTTTTCCGTCGATCTTGTTTTCCGTGCTGAGCACCAATGCTACCGACGTGCCAGGAAGGCAGCTCCCACACCTGGACCCTACCTATCGACCCATCAACTCATGAACCGGGGACCAACGGCTTTACTTCCCATCCGAAGGAAGGCGTGATCAGAGATGTTATGCCTCAGAAACCTCCCCTTAATTTCATATTATAGTTACCGGAATATGCCAGAGTGTTAAGTAAGTGGTATAAAACTTAATATGGAGTAGATTGAAGTTGATGTTGAGTGAAAACAACTCATAAATAGGTTAGTATATTGCTTACCTATAAGTGAGTGACAACTACTTAAAGCCCAGACGCAACCTTAAGGTTTTTCGTAAAGATTGTTCTTTCACCTACAACTTCTTCTCATACGTCATTTTGATGAATTATACCGTTTTCAAGTTATTTACGTCCTTCTGAAAAATTATTCCGGAAAAGTTACATTTTTTTAAGGAAAATGCCACCCTTGGGTAGCAAACGACATCCCTTCGTTATGGTATTGGAATATCCGGAACGGAGACGATATGTATAGGCTGGAAATTAATGACTGGCCATTGATTAATGTCCAGATTTAAGGATTTGGTCATCTTAAAAAACCGCAACACGCCAAATTTAACATACTTAATTGTACTAGTTTATTTCATCTATTGCTTCATTTCCTACTAAACTATGTAAAACATACATTGGAACCATTTTAATCGTTAAAACTGACAAATATCCTAGCAATAACTTAATAAACGACGTACGGAATTAACTTAATGACTTGGTTTCCCCCATCTATGGCCTAACAGCGACGAACCTCTCTTTCTGCTTCTACACCACCCTACACCAACAAATCGCACAGTGCCGTAATGTAAGTTTGCGCCATCTGCAGTGTCTCGTGTTTGGACAGCTGCCGATCGTCTCCACCCGCGGGAAGATGCTGCCTCAGTCGATTGAAGGCCTCGTTCAGTCCGTTCATGCGCTTCCGTTCCCGTGCATTGGCCGCCAAACGCCGTTTGCGCTTGATCACCGTTGGAATCACCGTACCTCGCTTGATCTTGATCTTCGTGGGGATATCACTGTTGGCCAGGAGATCACTATCCGATGCACTGCTGTCCTCGAGCTGTTCTATCTGACTCAGAACCTTGGCGGAGTTGGATAGCGGCCGAGTTGGAGGTTTCAGCGTGGTATTGATTTGACCTGGTGAACTGTAGTCAGTGGACGGGCTCGTCGATCCAAAGCTTACCGGGCTGGCCGTCACCCACTCGGTGTCGCTGTTGTACTGTGGCACTTCGAAGGATTCCGGAAAGTAGCTCAGTGTGGACGGGATGAATTCCGGACTGCTCGGTGGCGGAGTGAAATCCATCGCTTGATGCTGATGATGGTAGTTGTAAAAGTACTGCCGGTAAATCAGTTCCTCTGCCATGGTCACGAAATTTCACGGAATAGTCTTCACCCGAAGAGTAGCAAATCAAAACTAAATCACATCCCGAACGGTAAGGATAGTTTTATAACGATCTCGCAAGAGAAGCAGCCGGTGAGAAGGAACAAAAGGGAAAATGGAATCGGCGTTCCCCTATTTTCGTGCTCGCTCTTTCTCTCTCATACACATGGTTGGTTTTGTACGTTCTGAAGGTACGCACGTGCCTTCCAGCCAATCAGGGCATAAAAAATACACCATGAAAGAAGAGAGAACGGATGCTGCGCCATGCAGTCATCTCCGCTCTTTCAATTTTTAAGAATTCTCTCCGGGAGTTTGGAATGATCCTCCTAAAAAGAACGAAGTGGAACAGCAAAAAGCAAAAAAGTCCGAGCAGGTCCTCGGTGGTTGCTTGGCGACCGAATAAACAAACAACACCGGTAGAGATAATCTATTATTGAGAGGTGCTTGCGCAAAACTAATTAATTGGCGGATTCTGTGTGCAAGCGCGGATACACCACAGTAGTGCGGGCGTTCGTGGGATTTTCCCATGCTTCCACAAAAAAGGAAGGGGCGGATTTTTAATTTATTTTCTTTCCGCTCGAAATGGGTTCGAAATTGGCTGAATCTCTATCGATCGGTAGCGGTTTGTAGGTAGCTTTTCCCCTTTGGGAGCGTTGGCTTTGGTAGGACGAATTTTTGCTGTTTTTGCTTTATTTTGAATAATTTAATACTAATCCAATTTCATAATGTTGTATTGCTACTGTCCCGTTGTACTACTGTTGAACCAAACAGTATTCCAAGACTTTTCCGGGCTATTTTCAGGCTAGTTCAAAAACTCTTCAGACCCATCATGGTCACCAAAAAAAGGTGAAGACATCAACCGTCTAAAATCAGAAACAAAAGCACTAGGACGAGTCTCTTGCCGAATGAACCTGTAACTCTACTGTCTGTTACCGGTAAGTTCTCAATAGCAAGAGACCTCTCGAGCTGGGTCTCAAGGTCGGCTTACTACTGGGCAATCGAAGGGGCTACGCGAGCAAACGTGCAGAATACTGTCACTTGATTAACGTTATGGAAAAAATGCAACTGTGGTTAAAGATGGAAACATTTTATTGAGGACAGGCAAGGCCGGAGTGACTCTACCGAGAGGGTAACGTCTCCTTGGCGGTTAGGGAGGGTTCCCGAGACAAATTCCTTCCAGCCAAACATTTGGTCTGGCTTGAGGAAGGCTAGTTCCTTTGCTTTTAGACCTAGCGGCCTAGAGACTGCTCAGCCGGATCACGTGCGCGTCGGTTGATCTTTTCAACAGACAAAATGGCGATGTGGATCAAAAGATAATACAAAAGGTCCTGTGAGGGTATCGAATGGACGTTAGTTCAGCCGTTAGCTTTTGTTTGGGCAGAGAGCTATTTACCTGAATTGAGCTGTGGTGCAGCAAATCATCACACTCGAATATTACCACTCACTACTGGCTATTTCAAGCACTTCAACTGATCAACTCCTCTCACACGCGAACGACTGGATAGTTATGAGGAATGGCGGGTCGTTCGTGGGCTATCTGACCTCTGTCCCTTCGCTTTTCCATCCCTCCATCCTATATCCCAATCCAAAAAATCCTTTATCCATTCTCCCGCCTGCATATCTTTGTAGTAGTTGCACCCAATGTACTGTAACCTATCCCCACTTCACTGTTATACAATTTAAAGTTTAAACAATTCCCTGTTAGTAGGGACAAATCACGAATACGCTGACACTTCGTCATGGTGCAACTGTCAAACTAAGTAAATCATTTTCTTCTATACACAGCCTACTACGGTATGAGCAATAGGTTACGTGCATGCAAAGAAAACCAAGGCATGCACAGGTGAAACGGGAACCTTATTTGTACGATGGTGCAAACATTATCACGAATACGGTAATCTTTTAATAACCCTACTAACCAACACCAAATAACTTATAAAAACGTGACAGTACATTAAAAAATTATGCACCAACTAAAAATCATACAAATCTTGTAACAAACGGTTACACTACATAATACGTTAAAAGCCCAAGGTAGGGCAACTCTGGAACGCAAAATTTGAATTTTTCCAAATTGATCGACAAATTTGCCGTGGTCAGTCGCCTCGCTACCACTTTCAAAGTTCGGATATGTTCCTCGAACGAGTTACTGTGGGCTCCAGTTCCCCGTAGCCTAACACCTGGTCCATCAACCTCGGCAACGTCACGGGATTGTTGACCAAACCAAATGGCAGACGGGTGAACAGGAAAAGCCCGCGCCCAAATACCCGGAAGGCGGTGTACTTCCTCGAATCTTTCTCCAATGGAATCTGCCAGAATGCTTTGAACAGATCAATCGTTGATAGGTACTTCGACGAACCAAGTCTTCCCAGAATCCGATCCTGATGCGGTTACGGATATGCATCCTTTCTCGTCCTCTCGTTCAGCTTTCGTACTTTGAGCTTTTGCTGACCATCCTCGCCTTCACTTCTCTTCATGACAGGTACGATCAGCATAGCCCAGTCACTATTTGACCTTTCTACTACTCCGGAAGCTATTCACTTATTCAACTCCTCGTTGACATTCCTTTGCACTTCCGGTGACCATGGGTATGGATTCAGTCTCACTGGATCCGCATTCTTAACCCTCCGTTACTCGCGCCAACTTTTGTAACACGAGTACTCGCGCGTTGTACTTTGTACAACAGTGGGAGTTTTACATTGCCATTTTGCAGCCGAGCTACCAATCGATATGAAACCAACGGGTATTAAAAAAACCCGAATTTATCCACCTATGGTGTGATCAGACCCTTCTTACTTATTCAAGTTTATTTATTTTATTGTCATTATCAGTGACCAAGCCCCCCACCCCCGTGTCATCCAGTGACGCTACGCCACTGCCTGAGGGTACCCGGAATATATCCGGGTGTAGTCTATTTGGTGAGGCTACCAATCACCTTATCATCGTATTTTAATGTGATTTAATGGGTTTTAATTCAATTCATATTCAAGCAACTTCCCCGGGGTACCCGGAACATGTCCAAGTGTGTCCAATGTGGTCTGGAACACTTAACACGACTTGCATTGATCTTATTTTTGAATTCTGTAGTAATTTGATGTGTCGCATGATGGTTTTGATACGTTTTCCGTTAAATCCAGCGTGAAGGCCCATATTCACCGGATCTTATTCCGGCCATATCTCCGGAACCGGTTCACCGATTCCAAAACCGTTCAATAGCGTTCAATGGGACCCCAAGACCTATCATTTGGCGCCAAATCGGTTGAGCGGTTGCTGAGAAACGTGAGCGCATTCATTTCGTTACATACACGCACATACACACATACACACGTACACACACACACACACACAGGCATGTTCCGATCTCGTCGAGCTGAGTCGAATGGTATATAACACTCGGCTCTCCGGGCCTCGGATCGATAGTCGGTTTTTCAAGTGATATCTATACCCTTCTTTGTAAGAAGGGTAAAAACTTGTTAAACTTTTATCACAGTTAACTCCAAAAAAAGCGTATAATAGAGAAAATATGAATGGAAACCGCGTAAACGGTGTCCGTACTACGTGGGATTTGACTTAATTGGTTGCAAAATCTCGAGAGAGATCCTGACCAGATAGAAAGTTACTGTCGTTGACAAAGTTGTTCAGGAAGTCAAGATCTTTTCGTTAGTGGAGTAGTTCAAAAAATTCTCACTACGTGGCGCTAGTATATACGTGCAATTTTTGCATATACAATAGCTCAAGATCCTGAGCAGATAGAAAGTTACTTTCTTCGGTAAACTTGTTCAGGGGGTCAAGTATTTTTGGCTGGTGGAAGTAGTTCAGAATTTTCTCACTACACGGCGCTAGTATACACGTGCAATTCTCATATAAAATATCTCGAGATCATGACCAGATAGAAAGTTACTGTCTTAGGCAAAGCTGTTCAGGAGATCATAGCCTTTTTGCTGATTAGCAGTAGTTCAAAATCTTCTCACTAGATAGTGCTCGTATACATGTTAAGTTCTCGCATGTGATACATCACTAGATCCTGACCAGATAGAGAGTAAATGTCTTTGGCAAAATTGTTCAGGAAGTCAAGATCTTTTCGTTGGTGGACAGTTGTTCAGAATTGTCTCACTACTCGGTGCTAGTATACACATGTAATTCTCGCATATACAATAGCTCAAGATCCTGAGCAGATAGAAAGTTACTGTTCAGTGGGTCAAGACTTTTAAGCTGGTGGTAGTAGCCTAGAATTTTCTCACCACATGGCGCTAGTAAACGTGTACAATTCTTGCGTATGCTAAGCCCGGGATTCTGAACAGGTAGAAAATTACTGTCTTCGAAAAAGTTGTTCATGAGGTCAATGCCTATTGCTTGGTGCACAATAGTTCAGAATTTTCACGCTACGTGGCGTTAGTATACACGCGAAATTCTCACATGTAAAATATCTCGAGATTCTGATCGGATAAATTTGGCTAGAGGACAGTAGTTCAAAACTTTCTCACTACGTAGCGCTAGAATACACGTGAAATTCTCACATGTGGTTTTTTTTCGAGATCCTGACCAAATAGAAAGTTAGTGTCTTCGACAAAGCTGTTCAGGAGGTCAAAGCCTTTTTGGCTGGTAACAGTAGTTAAGAATTTTCTCACCACGTGGCGTTAGTATACATGTACACTTCTCGCATATGCTATATCTCGAGATCCTAATCAGATAGAAAGCTACTGTCTGCAACAAAGTTGTTCAGGAGGTCAAGGTCTTTTGGCTGGTGGACAGTAGTTCAGAATTTTCTCACTTCATGGTGCTAGTTTACATGTGAAATTCTCGCATATAAAATATTTCACGTTCTTGACCAGATAGCAAATTACTATCGTCGGCAAAGTTGTTCAGGATATCACAAAATTTTTGCCTCCTTTGTCGTAGACAGTAACTTTCTATCTGATCAGGATCTCGAGATATAGCATATGCGAGAAGTGTACATGTATACTAACGCCAGGTGGTGAGAAAATTCTTAACTACTGTCTACCAGCCAAAAAGT